CATTACATTATGGAAAATAATTACCTTTATCACAATATGCTAATTTTTTGAGAAGGACCTGTATACCAGGCAGATGCTGATTAATGCATAACATGCAACGTCAAAGTTAAAAAAAAAAAAAAAAAATCTCACTAAACTGTAAAACAAAATTAGGACCTTACAGTATATACATATTAAAAGTACAGAAATACTTCCAAATTTTAAATGTTTACTTTTGGAGTTGCAATTTATTCTCCTTGTCTGTGTCCAGCAAAGAACTGGTGACATGTGGAAGTGAAATATTACATTTTCTCATTATTATTATTATTATTATTATTTTATCTCGTTATTTGTAATTGTGTTTTATGCAAAGTGCTCATGTTTGCCGTATAGCTACAGTATTTAGTTGAATTCAATTCAGCACCAATTCACAATTCATCTCAGAGTGCTGTACAAAAACTTTCACATGCTTCTCTATATATTCAACTTGTAAAGTAAAGTTTAGACTCTTCAACTTCCTTTTTTTTTTTTTTGCCGTTTACAAAACTAAGTTAAAATGAATGAAATACTTATGCTTACCCAAACTTTTTCCCATGTAGTTTCATAAAGACATTAAGCAATATGTTAAAGAGCAAATGTTACTGCTTCCTGCCCTGGTTTTTAAAAGGCAACTAAAGTTATCCTAACAAATTCAGAAAAGTAATAATTCAGTGTTTATAGCTGACGCTCATCCATCTAAAGCATTAGAAGAGGAAAAACATGCAGATCCTTACAGTGTTTGTCCTCAGCACACAGACATGCCAGAGGAAATGAGGGTTGAGACCATGGAGCTTTGTGTAACAGCCTGCGAAAAGTTTGCCACCAATAATGAGGTATTTTTCTTTTTATTTAATACTTTACAAGGATTAAGTTCATACATGCTGAACAATATTGTACTAAGACGTTGATGCTCTAAGAAAAGTATGTCATGTTTTTCATGCTTTGTTTTTACACATCTCTCCCAGAGTGCTGCGAAGATGATCAAGGAGTCCATGGACAAGAAGTTTGGCAGCTCGTGGCACGTGGTGATCGGTGAAGGCTTCGGCTTCGAGGTCACGCACGAAGTGAAAAACCTTCTCTACATGTTCTTTGGAGGAAGCCTGGCCGTCTGTGTGTGGAAGTGCTCGTAGCACCTCCTCTGCACGCCTCCTCCTCCCTGCTGACGCGGTCACCAGGCTGGGAACAAACACCAGCTACCAGCCAGACACTGGTTACGCTCTTGTTTTGGCAGTTTTAATTGGTTCATGCTACCAGCCACTGTGGCTCTGAAAGAGGTTCCAGTTCAGCTTAAAACACAGCTGGTCAGGAGTTTTAAGTTGGGATCGCCACTTGGACTGGTGGCATCTTATAATCACTCTTTTCAGTATTTTTTTTGTTTCTGTTTTGATTCTCCATCTGACCCATTTCTTATGCTTGAACATCAACCTGAATGTTTGTGTGCATGCAGGTGCAAGTAAATTCAACTTTTACAAAAACCTACAGCCAGCCAGGGTCTCCAATGTCCTTTATCCTCATTCCTCTTCAGGGAGTGTGTGTATATATGTGTGTATGAGGGAGTTTATGTGCTTGTGTGTGCTGGACACACACGATTTTGAAATGCCTTGACATTGTTACCTTTCTCAGCAACATTTCTTTAACCATTTTTATTTTCCTGTCGTCTGAAACTTTTCACACGTGACCTTCACCCTCCAACAAACGGCACTACTCTTTCAATAAATTTTGTAATATTTTTTATGTGTACATAGTTTGATGCTATTCGAAGAAACATCTTATTGGAGACCAGTGTCATCTTCTTACAATAAGAGACTCGGAGCCAAACACTAAACCTCATGAGTTTTTCTCCTTATAAAAGTATTTGTAATAAGACTAAATAATATCACCTCTCGGGGTGACTATAGCAGTGTGATTGTTTCATGCTGGCACCAGTTTAAATGACCTGGTTCGATGGACCATTACATGTGAACTAACCTGATTGTACAATAATTTAAATTGTGGTGAAATCACTTTATTTGCTTTTCTTTTGTATTCATTATTGCCCGAACAATTGAAATAAAATTAGTCATATTTAAATAGTGTGTTTTAAATTCATGATGAGTAAATACAATTTTTATATCATTTTAGTTGGGAAGGAAGTACAAAAGTTAAAAGAAATGCATATACAGTATATCATGAGGTTGAAGCAAATTAAAATGTGTTCCTTTTGATCTGAGAACATCAATGCATCAAGCATTTCCAGGCACCAAGTTTTTTTTTTTTTTTTGGTTAGAATAAATCAGTATTAATATTTGGTTTAACAGTGTTTGTGCTTCACATAGACTAACAATAAGCCAGTAACTGTTTTGAAATACTTTTTTCAAAGAGGAAATGCACAGAGGAGCATATTTAAAAATATAACAATGTTCAGTCAGGTTATCTGCAGGTTTTTTTTGTTTTTGCTGAGACATTTCGTCTTTCATCCAAAGGACTTATTCAGTCCGAGGAGCCACAAACTAACGAAGTCCCACAAGCACCAACTCCCATAGTGGGAAATAAGTTTGTTCGTGATAAGATCAAATACGTAAGTCTGCAGACAAATAGGCGTTCCCAAAGGAAGGCATAGCTCAAGGGCCACACCCGATTGGTCGAAACACAACAAGGTGTTACTCAAGGGCCACGCCTGATTGGACCAAAAAAACAAAGCATAAATGGGTCGTGGGGAGAGCTAAATGTTTGTTTTTTAATACCTAGCCATTACATTAAAAAACGAAATCTGTTTTGGTTGTTGAATAATGTGAAAACAGTTTCAATTGATTCATAAAGAAAAATAAAGTAACCAAAATAATAATGATACTTAAACTGGCTTTAGGACAAAGGATGTTTCCTTTAACGTTACATTTTCTTGTTCGACCTTTTAAAGCCGTCACTGCAGATGAGTGATCGTCAGTTTCTGTAAGATTTCTGCTACTGGAGCAGGTATATCTGCTTACTGGTTAACTTCCTCAGTTGTCTCACATTTTAAGGGTCAATCCTACTCCATGTTTCAGCTCCTTTCATAGATCAGATCTCATAGAAGAACTTCTATAGAGCACATTTGTTTTTAGCTTTTGTTTTGGGCCATTATCTCGTTACAGGACTCATTATCTTTAATTGAGACCAGACTTTTTGACAAATGGGAGCAGGTTTTGCGTCAGGTGCTTCATATTTCATTGTACCCAGACCACACTCAAGCCAACCTGTGTCAGGTGCAGCCTACAACCCAAGAGCAAAAGAGAAGATGCTTGTGTTTGACAACACAGAACGCTGGTTCTTAGAAACCTTCAGTTTTTTTTTTTTAAAAAGAGCTGATGTAATTTACCTAAAGAGCCAGCAAATACAGCTAGCCAATCAGTGTTTGCACTTTAGAAATGCCTATTCTTTAGAAACACCCACTTTTGGTCTGCAGAGAACCCGAGAACCCCTTCTCGATAAGATGGCTGCCTTAGAGGAGTTGATGGGGGAGAGAGCGGGCCCCAGAAACCATCTTATCACTAGCAAACATTTTTTTTCCACTATGTGGGAATTGGTGCTTTTGGGACTCTGTTGTTTGTGGCTCCTCGGACTGAAGAAGTCCTTTGGATGAAGGATGAATATCTCAGCAAAAGAAACCATCTAGATGACTTGAATGAACATTGTTGATTTGTACCTGAATTGTTGAGGATGAACTTACACACACACACACACACATATATACAGGTATATATATATATATATGTATACAGGTTATGGGGTTTAGACAACATTTCTGAGAGCATTGCGCTGAAAAGCTGCTAATTTACAATTTAGATTTTATATTTCCTCCCAAAAGTAATAAAAAACGTCTCTATTTTCAAATGTTCAGCTTTGCGTGAATGTCATTATGCAGCTTTACTGAGCGCAAAAGGGGAAATTTGCTTTCTCTGTTTTGAAGTTCCAGTGGGTAAATGAAATCTCTTTATGATGCATTTATTTGGCTGCAAAGTTCTGCTATTTTATTGACATTGCTGCTACATATCAGCAGGGAATATGAGACCGCCTCCTGCAAGATGTCAACTCTTAGCTCTTCATTCCCAATCTGACATGAAACAAAAAGCCAGCTCTGTGCTTCAATCCATCATATTTCTTGTCAGCATTTTTTGAGTTTTTCTATACAGAAATTTGAGTCATGTCTATAAAGTTCTTATAGCCCTGTGATAAAAAATGAACATGAATAGTTGTAATATTTTAGTTCATTCACTGTCATCAGATGAGAAACATCATTTTGGCTTTTATTCAAAATAATAGTTGCCTGAAAGCAAACTTGCAAACAAGAGCTAATTCGTTTGGTTTAAACAGAAACTGTGGTTCATGCACCAAAACAAGCTTTTTTTGTTGTTGTTATTTTTTAGGGGGCTGATAAACGGACAAAATGTAATGTTGAATTATTTTCCAAGGTCATAGGTCATTCTGACCCAGTGTTTCAAAGGTCACTATTATTGACAAACCACGGCAAATCTGGCAACCATGAAAAACACTATGACCCATGGGTCAGCCTGCTCTCTGGGCTCAGAGATATAACAACTCTTGCCCTTTTCTCAGTAAATCATGTACAAAGTTTATAATAAGTCACAGAATGTATTTACTTCCTATTCAATCTGTTGGTTTTTCAGCCCAAAACTCCATTCTAGATATCATATTTGCATAAAAATTGGCAAAAATCTCTCTGTTCTTGCATCTGATCATGTAGTGTTGAATATTTCTACATCTCACAACTATCAGAGGCTGTTCAAACATCTGGCGATGGTATTTAGATAACCTTAAATTCTAATTTTAAAACCTCACTCAGTCTTTTGAAAGCAAAATGCATTATGCAAGACATAAAAGAAATGCTCTAAAATTCATTTAATCACTACTGCCATTTAAATCTAATCACGTTTCCTTTTAATATAAAGTTCAAGTCATGTTTATTTGTCATATGCAATGTTAACACAGGGTTAACAGTACAATGAAATGCTTGGGATGAGAAGAACTGATTTGACTCGCTAAAAAAAAATCAAAGAACAAACAAACAAGAAATACTAAAAGCATGCAATAAGGGTACACACACACACACACACACACACAAAAAGTACCAAAAAGTGAAAAAGTAATTATAATATTTCCAATGTCCTAAAGAGAGATGGTAAACAACAACATGGTAGAATATAATGGTGCAGCAGGATGAATTTGAATGAATAAGTATTTCAAGGTAGTAATATAAGCTAAAATGCACATTATATATATACAGTTTATACATATATATATATATATATATATATATATATATATATATATATATATGCTGCACATAATCAACATATACTACACTAGTTGTGTGACAGGTTATTGCACAGGTTGTGCACAGGAACATACAAAATACTACTGCAATATAGTAAGAAACATTTTACAGAAAGCAATAACAACAAGGTTGAGTCATGTCCTGTGGATGGGTTCTTTTACACGACCTCACTCAACCTTGTTGAGTTTATCTCCCTGGATTATTAAGCATGCATCAGGACAAAAACAACATTTTGAATAAGGTAGCGCAACGGTTCAATATGTGGTGGTGAAGAAGGAGCTGATTTGAAAGGCAACGTTCTTAAGTGATTGATCATCCTACGTTCTGACCCTCATGAAATATGGATGAATCAAATCCCGTATGCAAGGAGTTGACACAGCCGTCCTCCTCGGGGTGGCTGGGCTCAGCCTTAGAGATGAAGTGATTAGCCCCTTCATCCATAGGGAGCTCGTAGTAGAGCCACTGCTCTGCACTGAAAGGAATCACCTGATTTCAATGTCTTCTGGGCACTTGGATCTCAACATTTCTTTTGGCAAGTCTCACTACAAGAAAGCCCATGGTGTACTCAGAACTTGCCCGATGGATTCCATGTCCTCTCTGTCCTGGGAACACCTTGGGATTCCCCAGGAGGAGCTGGAGAAGGTTGCTGGGTTTTCATCCTGAACATAGAGGGATTATCTGATGGATGGGTGGCTGGATAGATAAGCACATGGCAATTCCATTGCCAAACTTTTTTAACTTACTAAGATTAATTCATTTATTTGTTAAATCTAATAAACACTCCTATGTCATCAGTTGCCATGACAAAGTAAGAAACACAAGAACCAAGCACATGCAAAGTGAATGGGCAAGATAAAACGAATGCTTTGGGACCGTTTTGGCTGGAACTCAGTATAATCTGTCCTGGAGAGTTATGATGCTGATTAATGGTCCTCGTTTGAGAGTCACTGACCTAATTTTCCATGTAAACATTCAAGTGTAACAACCGCGAGGGTTTGAGCCGGGATACATCTGGATGTGCAGGGACTAATGCCAGCATAATACACTGATAGCTTTCACCCAGATTTACCTGGCTGACCTATTTCATGTGAAGAAGCCTTTACATTCAGCAATTACTGTAATAGCACTTATAATCCGCTGGATTGCGTGTCAGTAAGCATGCATCTATCACAAATTTCACCTCATCCATTATTAACTTGAGACACTTTTTATAAATCTCCTCCCTCTTCTTGTGTCTCCTCCACCTTGTTAAATATTTATGCAAAGAGACACAGTCACACAACACACTGCTAGTTTGCTTGGCTTCAAGCCTGAGAAGCTTTTCCCAGTGTTGAGGGAAAAAATCCTGAAAGTGGCTCTGTGGTGCTTTCATTGAAGTTACATATTTTTTATTCCAGTAAAAAGCTAAAAGTCACACTGAACAGACTATTCGCTCCAATAAACTGCTGTTTTTACTGTTAATGCTCACAGGCTGTTTTACACCAGTGAGTAACACAATAAAAAATTTAGTGAACATACAGTATGTATTTAGACATCCACTATAGTTTATAATTTTAATAAAAATAGGCAGCCGATAACATGTAATTAGCATTAGCGTGTATAGTTACTAGCATTACATTAGCTAGCTGTTGGCTGCAAATTTATGGGATATTTAAGTCCTGACTTTACCTTTATTTTCTGCTCTTAAGTAACTAAAATAATTGAGGAGTCCTAACTTTGTGTT